TTGCTCGAGCATTTGTGCGGGAGTCTGAACTTCGACGTGCTGGTCTGCCCGCGGGGTCAGGTTTGGCTTCGGCGTCTGTTTGGTTGCTTCGGAGACTCCCCTTCCGCCTCTTGCTTTCGTTGGGTTCGTTCCTCCGGGGGATCTTGTGTTGGTGCTGCGTCGCCAGCTTCCTCTTTGGGGTTTTTCGGGGTTCCGTGCCTTGGCACCTCCCCGAACCTTCGCTCGATGTGTTCACGGACAGGTCATCTCTCGGCTGGGGCTTTGTGACCAGTGCTCACCAGGTCAGCCGGGGATGGTGGAGTCTGTCTGTCCTTCGGACTCACAGCACGGTTCGGGAGTTCGTAGCTGTCTGGTTTGCGCTTCGGAGGGTTTGGGTCACTCGGTGCTCTACCATTCAGCTCTGTTCAGACTGTTCTCTGGCGGTTCTTGCTGGAACCACAGGGTTTCTCTTAGGTGTTGACCTTTGGGGTTGGTTCCTTAGAGTGGCTTGTTTACTGGATTCTCGGGGTTTGGCTAACCGTGAGGTTCATGTTCGGGGTGTGTCCTGCGTCCTGGCGGACAGCTGTCTCGGTTTATTCCTCTGTTCACGGATTGGCCAATTGTTGCCGACTCGTTTTGTTGGCTCTGTCGGACGTATGGACTCCTGGCCATGGACGTCTTCGAGTCGGCGTGGTCTAGGCATCGCCCATTTTATGTGGTGCCCTTACCCTCCTGCGAGGCATTCACGGTGGATGCTTTTCGGCAGGACTGGTCGAGGTGGGGGTACCTGTTCCTCTTCTCCGGGTCCAGCTGTTGCTTTGGGTTCTGGCTCGGTTGCAGCCCATTCCCACGAGAGCAGTCCTTATGGTTCCTTGGTGGCCGGCCCAGCTTTATTTTTAGACGCTGCTTGATAGGTGTCCGAACCCAGGGCGTTTTCCCGCGGCTCCGCCTCTTTCGGCAGGTCGAATCGGGCCTGTACGTGACTGGTTCGGGCTTCTCCTCGGCTCTTCGTGTTTGGTATTTTGACACGGGTATCACCATCTCAGTGGTGTTCAGGTGGATTTGTTGATGGTGTCCCACCTGCGAGCTTCGTCTTGGCGACAGTATGACGTTTCGTACGCTTTCTCGTGTTTTGTTTCACCTCCGGCCTGCTCATGCGTCGCCTGAACTGTCCTGGTCCTTGATCAGGGTGCCTTCTTATCTTCTCAGTTTGTGGTAGCCCCTTCGGTTCACGTTTCTGCTCTTTGGTACTGGTGGTAGATTTGTATACGTGTGCAGCCTTTCTCCGTCCTGGCGACAGTCGAGACGGCTGCTTTCCGGAGGGGTTCTTGGGTTCTTGATGCTTGATTGATTTAGCTGGGGGTGCGTCCTGTGTTGTCCAGTTGTGCTTTTTGCCGTTACCTACGAACTGTGTCTGGGGATGCGCTGTGGTTGATCCCGTTCCCCTCGTTCCCTGTTTTCAGGGCTCAGGTCTCCCAGGTCGTCCGCAGAGCTTTTCAGTCTTCCAGCCTGCGGTCTGTCTTTGCGCCCATGCTGTTCAGACATTTGCAGCTTTTGTTGCTGTGTCTGTGACGTCTCGGGCTCATTTCGGGCGCAGGGAATTGAGGGTCGCACAGGTTCTTGGCTGCCCATTCTTTATGCGCGTCTGCTCCTGTGCGTTCTTGTTGCCTTGGGTCGCAGGTTGCATCCTGTTGTCTCGGCTTCGCGTTGCAGAGTTTGTGGCGGCCGCCTCCCGGGTTAGCCCTTTCTTTTCCTTCTCTTTGGGTATGAAGCTCCAGGGAGCCATAGGGGCTCCCCACAGAAAACCAGCGTTGAATGTAATGAAATGCCATTTTCTGGGTGAGCCCCCGCAAGCTTCCTGGCAACCCTTCCTCCCACTAGTCGGCGGTTTTTTCGCGTTGATTGAAGCTTAGCTTCCAAAGTGAAGCTTGGCAGCCGGCGCAGTAGGTCCGGGGCTGCCCCTTCCCCCTCTCGGGGCGGGGATGGCTGCGCGGACGATCGGCGCGGCAGTAAAGTGTGATGTTTGCTTGATTGCTTGTTTCCTTTGGATTGTATGGAGTTTCTACCTCTCTGTTCGTTTTTTTGTTTTAGTTTTTTACCATGTGAGGTTTTTGTCATGCCTACCTTTCTGGGTGCTTAACCCTGGTCGATGGCAGATAAGGAAAAACCCCAATTACAAAGGGGTTTTCCAGGGCATTTGCTCCCTGAAACCTCTCTGAAGGGGCCAGGTTCTGGCGCTGGTCCCTGGTAGGTCTGAACTCCTTAGCTTATGTCCCGGGCTAATATAACATACATTTGCCCGATAAGCTCCAAGGAGCGCTCGGGGCTCACCCAGAAAATGGCGTTTCATTACATTCAACGCTGGTTTTTCGCGTTTTTGACATCCAGCCTAAGAACTGTAGGTTGGGTCGTCGGCGGTTGTGTCTGGGGCTGCCCCTTCTTCATCCCGAGGAGGGGGGATTGTGCAGACCGCGGCGCGGCGACGTGATGACGTCATGCTCGTTTGCTAGTTTTTGTTTGGGGAGTTCTGTCCACTTGTTCGGTCTTTGGTCGCAGTAGTTTTCCCTGAATAGGGGGTTTGTTTTAGGGCGCCTACCTCTCTGGGTGCCTATCCCGTTCGATGGCAGACAGAATGCTTCCAATAATACGGGGGGGGGGGGGGGGGGGGTTCTTTATAGGCCATTGCTCCTCGTGCCTCTCGGATGGGGCCAGGTTCTGGCTCGTGGTCCTTTGTAGGCAAGAACTCCATGCATTGACTGATGCCAGAAAGTTATATATATCCATTCAGCCTGGATAGCTCCGGGGAGCCTCCGGGACTCACCCAGAAAAATGGCTTTTCATTTAATTCAACGCTGGTTTTTTGGGCCACTTCTATTGCTGGATCTTAGCATTTTGGCTGTTTCGGAGCATTCAATTTTTCCTGGGGTATTCAGCCATTCCTCTTGGTCTTGCCGGTTCTGGGTTGGCATTGGTATTCAATCAGGCCAACTGGTAGTTATCCAATGCACTTTCCTGTGGTTTCCTTTCACTTGTGATGCCAAGAAGGGATTTTGTTTGACTTCAAGTTTATGAATGTATCTCTGTTAGTCATTCTTAGCTGGATTAAATAATCTCCAGTGACTATCTAGTACCTTAATGACCATGCAGGGGCAATTTGTAAAGGTCTCTGGGACTGTGGGGCAGTGTCATTCTGCCTGATTGTGCTGGCTCCCATACTGATGACACAGTGGATCTTACCTTAGGGAGCACCTCAATGATATGCTCAGTCCTGATTTTGTTCAATAAATATCCTCGTCCAGGAATGTATCTTATTTTTCCCAGAAGATCCTTAACCCTCAAACCGCGCATATCATATATAAATGATATCAGTGACAAAACCGAAACCGCGCACATCATTTATATATGATTTCGTGTCTAGCGCTATAATTTAAACTCCCCGCCTGGGATAGGGGCAGCTATAGTACAGCCACGACCGATAGTTGCCAGATGCCACCTAGAAAAAAAATCCAGGCCAACATTCTTGGGTGTTACAGCGTCAGTATTGAGCAAGCCACCAAGGCTGGCGCACGCAGCACGAGCTCACAGCACCGCTGTTCAGCTTGTGACCACAGCATCGCCTACAAATACCATAATATATATGATACTGCTATTATTTAGCAGTGATAGTATTACTGAAGCCCCCTGACTGTGATAAAACTGACCAGGATTCTGATAATAGCAGGATTGTGGTGATATTTAGCGCTGTGCTCCATGCAGGGAGGAGTAAGGTTGTGGCGTCGTCTTCTGACTGTGTGTGGCCACCATTTATTGACTGCACTCACCATACCAGCTTAGTGGTTCGATATGGTGAACACAAATGTAGATACTTATATATAACGTGTGTATAGAGTGTGATAAGAGCGAGAGTAGGAGGTTGGGAGCCGCCATTTTGGTGAGGGAGGAGCGTCGTCTGCACGTCTTGGCATGGTGTTTACTGATGGCCACTATGGTCTTTGGGCACCATACCAGCTTATTTGTTCAGGTATGGTGAATAAAACAGGTAGATACTTATATATAATATGTGTATATAGCGTAATAACACCACAAACAATATTGTTGAAGGACAAATATTAGTGTGTCTGGCCTTGAGGGCGGCCGCCGATCAGCTGACTGTGTGAGTAGCTACGTCTTATGGCCTTTACTCACCATACAAGCTTAGATGTACAGTTATGGTGAACAAAACATGTAAATACGTATATATAACGTCTGTGTATAGTGAATAAATACAGAAAGAGTATTGTAGGAGGTGAATGAGGGTGAGTGAGGTGGTGTTGAGGGAGGGAGTGGCAGTGAGTGGCTCGCTGGTGTTTGGCGGTCACTCCTCGTTGCTTTTTGACTCACAAGACCAACTTAGTAGTTCGTTATGGTGTACAAAACATGCAGATACTTATATATAACCTGTGTATATAGTGTAACAACAGCAAAACTATTTGTTTATTGTTTTATGAACATAATAATTGAATCACTAATATGCACACCATAATTTTGAGTACAGCGATGGTTCACACATTTTATAATATAAATATACCACAATTCACTGTATGGAATAATATTACTGCAAAAAAAACTAAGAAAAAATCAATCAGAGACATTGAAATAATTAGGTAATAATATATTTGTGGCAACTGCCGTCTGACAGCTCGGGCGGAGTAGACCTCATCTGGCGAAGGCTCTGCCAACGCCCCTTTTTTGCCACACTTCCCTACCCTATTGCGGCTAAAATATGCCACCTACGATTTTTTTGTTATTTTTTCCGTGATCAGGGAACAAAAATGAACACTTCTATAAGACGAAAGAATTTTTTGGAATTTTTTTTTTGTTGCGCCTGTGGGTGTGAATTCCATTTGGGCCCCTAGCGGTTTGAGGGTTAATAAAACCTTACATAGTTTAGCTTTGCATATTGTTACAAGGAACATATTCCTTACAGAACTAGGAGTCTGCTGTATTGTTTGAAATAAACTAAACATTTGTTCATATTCTAGAGTGTGGAGAAGCTGCTAGACGATGCTATTTCTACCACATCTCAGGACTTAGAGAGGAGGCAAACATTAATTAAGCAAAAATCCCTAATGCACAGGCTTACCCAGATATCAAACAGGTATGTATCTGTTAACATTTTATCAGGTATCTCCAGTTGGAGTACTCTGGATTTCATGGGATTAGTTTGATGTCTTTTTATGTTTTACTCAGGTTTTGTATTAAAATTAGAAAGTGTAAACCAATATTAGTAGCATCTGTATATTCTGGAGGAGCCCCTGATGTCTCTCTGAGATGACTTCTCACTACTGAGTCACACCAGCCATATCAGTCCTCTCTGGGGGAGAGCCCCTTGTAACTCCCTGAAGCTACTATACACTTAGATGGTACTATTTACTAGGTCGCACCAGCTGTGGAGTTCTATAAGTCTACTGGGGACCAGCACCACAACCAGGGCCCCCCTCACAAATGTGCATGGAGCGGTGACATTTATTGAGTGGTTCTTTGCCTACCGGGAACCATGAGCCAGAACCTGGTTTCCCAAGAGAGGCGCAGGGAGCAATGGTGTATGAACACTCCACTTATTGAGAGTATAGTCGTGTCTGCCATCAACCGGGGGTATCACACAGACATAGACAGGTAGGTGAACCAATACAAACCCCTACTGGTAAAACATTGCAACCCAATACAAAACAGAGTCCAAGAACTACCCCCAAAAGTAAACAACAAACAAGCAAATGTCTAATCAAATAGCATGCCCGCCTGTTAGTGACCCCCTCCCCCTTGGAGGGGGGAGGGGCCCCGCCCAGGCGGCTCACGCGCTGACACTGGTAGTTCGTAGACTGATAACAAAGCTGCCGACCAGAGGGAGGGATAGTTTCAGGACGCCACCGGAACTGAACCCAGAAAATGCCATTTCATTACATTCAACGCTGGTTTTCTGAGGTGAGTCCCATTGGCTCCTTGAAGCTATATACCCACAGATAAGATAAAAGGGACTTACTCTGAAAGCGGCAGCACCGCATGCCTCATGACGAAGACGAATAGCTGGCAAGTGCCCCAAAGCCACGCTAGGCCGCTGAGGACCTGGAACGTTAACAAGATAACAGGCGGCCAGGACCCTGTTCGACCTCCAAAACCCCCGCACCCGAATGTCAATCCAATACATGTTACACACGTCACCAAAGACTGCAACAAGAGCCGCAAACTTCCACACATCATGAGCACGAGGGTAGACTGCAGGCTGAATAGCCTTGATAATCCTAAGGACGACCTGAGAGACTTGAGCCTTGGGGATAGGGAATGAGGGACACAGGATCCACTCGAAGCTCATCCATGGATACAGAACCCGAGGTGCACAGATAACGGCAGAGAGCTGCATTTGGACACAGAACATGTTGCACCCCCAGCCTGACCAGCGAAGCATCAATAACCCTCAGACCCTCCGGAAGCCCACAATCTCATTCTTCCCCAGAAAGAAGGAGACAGCTGCCAATGAACATAACGCCCCCCCAGGGCCAAAGGAGCAGAAACCTCTGCACCGGAGAAGAGCATGAAGTTTCCCAACCCGACCCACAGTGGCCAAAGTCAACAAAAACAACCCCTTCCCAAAGCAATCTCAAGCCTAAGGGGCCACAGCAAACCAAGGAGAAGAGAGAGAAGAGAGCTCCTGATTCAAAGACTAGGATGTTTCAGGCAGCTCATGAGCAGGCTTGAGGTGAAAAATTGCACGAGAGAGCTTACGGAATGGAGCAGAAGTGACTTACACCCTGAACACAACCGAGACAGACCATCTCGTGTGGACACCCTCTGGATGTGAACCGCACAAAGAGCTAAACCCCGAGAACTCAGCAGAAGAGCCACTCGAAGAGCGAATAGCCCCAAAAGCCATGGACCGAAGTGCCCCCCCTCCCCCCTCCGGTTCAGACAAAGATCCATCAGGCACAATCCGAATGGAGCCGAATCACAGAGCCCTGAACGAGTGGAATCCACCATAGCCAAATCTACCAAATCCACCAGAATCCACCAAGGCACTGAACCCCAAAACACCCAAAGAGGAAGTCGAAGACTCAGCAACCGATGCAAGGCCCCCCCCCATGAAATGAACCCATTGATCCCAAGAGTGGCGGAAGGGACTGCTCCAAATGAACCAAAAAATCTTTCGAAGCCAAACCCAACCAAGCGGGAAAACTGGCAAGGCAAAATTCAGACTGCTGCACAGCTGCTCGAGCAACCGACGAGTGACCCGGGAACCCCCCTCCCCCCAAGAATAGCCGAAGGAGATACTGCAGCCAGAGCAACGCCGCAGGAGGGAGGGACACAGATGCAGTCCAAGAATCCCAGACCAGACCCAGCCAAGTCCAAACCTGGCACAGAACCAAATGAGACTTTGTTCTTACTTACATTAACAAGTGGGCTTTGTTCTTACTTAGCTCCTTGAGCATTTTTTCCAATTCGTCTCTAGACACCTCTGTGTGCTCAATGTTGTTCTCTGGAATTCTTATTGTGTCGGGTTCCCTGAAGATTTCGTTTTGTACAAACACGCTTTGGAACTTTTCATTTAATGTTTCACACATTTCCTTTTAATTTTAATGAATCCATCTCCCATTTTCAGCCTCTGGATATTATTCTTTACCTGCAATTTTTTGTTTATGAATTTATAGAATAGACCTGGTTCTGTTTTACATTTGTCCGCAGTTCCTTTTTCAAAATTTCTTTCTGCCTCTCTTCTCACTGCCGTGTAGTTGTTTCTCGCATCTTTGTATCGCTGGTATGTTTGGGGGTTTGGCCTCTTCCTATATTGATTCCATTTTTATGTCTTGTTCTCTGGCCCTCTTTCAATTTCTGTTGAACCAATCCTGTTTCCTAGTTCTGCATCTCTGCTTTGGTATAAATTTTGTTGTGCTTTTATCATATATTTCACAAAACTTGACATACATCTCATTTACTTCATGTCCTAACAGCAAGTCTTTCCATTCAAATTCCTTAATGAAATGTCTGAGTTCCCCATATTGACCTCTCCTGAAATCAGGCTTTTCAACTGCTTCAACTTCATTTGCTTTCAGATTATAACGCATTGCATACTTTATTCCCAAAAGACCTTTTGTAAACATGGTGTAAACATGTGTTGGTGTTCCACGTCCTTTATCGCGGATTCTACGCCGCTCTCGCTCATCTTCTTTCCAGTCATAGCCCCCTGCATACTGGGAAAGTTCTGGGTTTTATGTATGAGGAGAACACTTAGTTATTTCTCTGCTTTTAAGGGTGTGGAGTGGCTAGGAGTGGTGCCGCCTCCACTTTTACTCTACACCTCATCTATTGTTCACACATCTCTGGACAGGATCCACTAGCATTACTCCCGGAATATTACATGGCTCAGCTGTGTTGTGACACAATAGTGTCTACACATTACCGGTGAGAGAATACGATCTGGTGACACGGTCAGCCAGGCGCTGGTTCTTGGTTTTTGGATGAGTGTTGGGTGTTGTTTTAGCGTGCTTATTGGCCACTTTGCTTGCTTCTTAACATGACCTTCCTATGTGCTTATATTAATGCTCCTCAGCCCAAAGCTAAGGCCTGATTGTGGGGAAGGGTTCCATGGATCATCAGATGGACATTCATTCCTTAACTCAGTCTTTGCTTTCCGGATACTCATTCCTTGCTGGGCACTCGTTTGTTGCCTCAGTCAATGATTTCTGGATACTTGTTCCTTGACTCAGTCATGGCTTCTGGTCACTCCTTCCTTGGCCGTCATCGTTCAGTGCCTGGCTGCACTTTCCTGTATACATTGGAGTGTAATTGTATATTTACTTGATCATGTGCATTCGATTTTTCTTACATTTCCTACCTCTATACTACACATTGTTGTGTGTCTTAGTATGTGCTTATTGGCTAGACTAGTGTTGGTACTAGGTTGGACTGTGTACATGTTCAATTCCCTGCACTTGGACAGCCCGCTGTTCAGTTGAAGGACTGAGTTCTTTCATCTTCTTGTATGTCCTTACCAGCTTCTGTGTTGCAATGTCTAATGGTGGCTGTGGGTTCCAATCACCCACTCCTGCCCTTACTGTTCCATTTTGTTGGGACAGGGGGAACTCGGATTATGGCCCTGGCTATGGCCTTTTCCTTGTGTTCCTTTGTCGGGCGGTACATTTTTGCCTTAGTGCGGTACACGTCCTTGGTAGTTCTCCTCATCTGTTACTCTGCTTCGTATGTGTCGTTCTGCCCTGCTGGAGCTAATTGCACTGCTCCTGCAGGTTGTGGTGTCGCTGTTTTTCGCTTTGCGTCTCGTGTGTCGGCTCGTGGTGCTCGCTTCCTCGTTGGCCTCTGCCTGGGCCCCTGGCTCTTTGGTTTTCATCGCCATTTTCTTTTTGCTGTTTACAGAGTCTACGGTTCAGTTCTTTTCGCAAGCGGCGGCTTGTTGCCATCCGTTATTGGCCTTGTTGGTCCTTTTGGGGTCCCGGGAGGGAAGCGGGTTCCTCCCGGACAGGGCGTGTCTGCTCGCCCGGGTTGGTTCTTTCCTGGCTCGCTGGGTTTGGGTTTCTGGTTCCCTGACGGACGTTCCTTCTGGTTCCTTGCTAGTCTTGGTTTCGGTCGCTGCTTGCTCGGTGTCCGAACCCAGGGGTTTTCCTCCAACACCGCCTCTTCTATTGATTGGTCCAGTTTGTATCAGGGCTGGTTCGGTGTTCTCCTCGAATCTATCGAGTTTCTCACCATCTTTGGTGATCAGGTGATTTCTTGATGGTGTCCCACGTGTGTGCTTCGTCTCGGCGGTGGCATGGGGTTTGGCTAGCAGTCCATCCTTTTCTTTTTGTCTCTTCGTAGGTATCCTGTGGTTTTGTTGACATGGTCTTGTCCTTCTCTCGTGAGGGCTTGTGACTGTCAGCTTAACGCTTACTGTTGCCTTGTTTCGTGCAGTACTGGCGGAGCCGCTACAGTTTAATTTCGGTTTTGATATTCCTTCTGCACCGTTGCGCAGGCTGTCTCAGGTATTGTTTGCCTCCGGCCTGCTTGAGCGGCGCCTGCGCCATCTTTGTCTCTGGCCGTTATGCTCTTGTTTCTATCTTCGCCTCGGCTCTCTTGTTTGTTAGATTGCATCATTATTCTGTCTCGTTCTTTTCT